CGAACCTGGGTTGCTCGCGTACTGTGAAATTTAAAGCGAGCGCTAACCAGCTGAGCTACTACGGCTCCCATTTTACTATATAACAAAGATTGGGACAAACTCAGGCTTTACAAAAAATTAAATGCAATATTTTAGGTTAATGAAATTGGTAGTTTGCTAATAGCCACCTTGCTTAGGGCTCTTAGTACTTGATTATAGAACTGAGTTACAGGTCATGGATTCCAAAACCAATATCTATTGGTTTCTGTATCTGATCATGTTGTAGTGAGACTGTAAGCGTCTAAGATATGACACTGCACCGAAGGGAATATGTTGAAACCAAAGTAGATTTTGTAACCCATGATGTAGTATATTATAGACCATCATAGCTGCACAAGTAGCGGCAGTAGTCAGTAGCGACAGCAGTGGGGACAAAATCGCGCAGTTACACTTCTCATCAAATAAAGCAAGCCAATGACAAACAGACGAATCAATTTCATAAACGATTTTTTTAAGCCCGCGCCCTTGTTCTTTACCAAAGAGAGTAGTTTGAGGTTGTTGCTGGATGGAGCATTTCATGGCGTCGCACGGCTGTGGCATATGACCTGGGTTAGCTTTTTGTGCCACATCTACTTTGGCTTTACGGAATTTTATATCTAGGCCACCGCAACGGCACTGATCAAGAACCGCTCAGTTGCTGCAACTCACGATTGGTGCTGTGCTCTCCGTAGAAAGTAAGTGTTGTTCTGTCCAGGAAGGTACATAAGTACTCCATGGTGTTATGGCAATATAGGAAACGAACAATTCATATTACCATTTTTAAATTAAATAAAACCAGATATTGTCATGATGTACAAAAATATAATGTTTTAATGTTTTTTTAATTAAATTATTATTTCTAAACATTTAACAAATATTTAGGAGTATACTAAACGTAAAGAATTTCTATAGATAATTGAAGCAAACACAATTTTGTGAAATTATATGACAACGGGATATTTACGTTTTTATTAAACCAAATACGTTTCGAAATTTAAATATTCTCCAAAAATTCCCTGGAGTAAAATTTCAAAAATATTAACATACATGGAATTTCAAATATAAGTAAAATTTTTATATGAAACTACGATAGCTATGCATTTACGACAACGACGGTCCCGTGGCTTAGCAATGAGTTACTGCGCTGAGAAAACCGCAGGTTCGAACTCCGCACTAAACATGTATTTATATGGACAAGTAATTGTTTCGGTAATTTATGTATGTAATCTGCACCATACAGGAGAAATTTCTTGTGTGTAAAGAAACGTAAAAAAAAGTAATTTGAGTAAAACAAAGAAAGAAAATGTTTTAAATGAGTTTTTAAATAAAAAGCTACATTTTACTGTCAAAATTTATGTTTGCTTATACTATCGCATTCCTTATCTTGAATATGGACCATGGACATGTATACACACAAGATAAGCTGTAATTAAAAATAAATAGTGATGCACATGATGTATTGGTAAGTTTCATTGAATTTTTATTTTATAGCTTTACATGAATTAAAGAAATATTATTTAGTGTAATAAAAGAAATAGAATAGTCGTTATTTCTAAAATTAAACAAACGAGAAGAACTAACATTATGTTTTACGAACACATTTTGCATTTAATTGTTCATACGGGTTATTATTGTTATGTAAAATTTTGAGATTCAGCCTTTCCGCACAATTAGACCCGATGACAAATATTAACGTCGTATCTCCCTAAAGCAGGTGAAATAATATGGACAAAAACACCTATAATAACAGTCTGTTGCGTTCCTACCTTAAAGCTACTTTTATTGTATTAGTAAAGGATCCCGTAACAAAATACATAATAACGTAGTGCATGAAAATTTAATAAGGTATTTTCAAAATTAAAAAAATCAACCCTTTGTTGTAATAGTCAGAGAATAGTAGGCAATCTTCAATTACTGGTCCCTTGAGCCAGATTTAAACTTTATTAAAAAAAAGATTGCTTCATCAAAACTACAATTAAACCTGTTTAATTAAACTGGTACCTTATTAAATTTATATCGCACTTCAAAAGGATATTATTACAATAATGTTCACATAAATTAAGATATTGTATTAATACTGATTACAGTTACTAATTATATGGTAATTGATGGCGATATATTTACATTGTGGCATGGAATATAATTTAGTTAAAAAAATGTATTTAAAACCCGCATTTTAAAATTAATTACATATATTATACAACCAACACATAATTATAATAAGTTAATGCTAAATCTGCCTATAATAATCTAGTTTAAATTTATATATTTATTTCATTCCTAAGAAATATTATGCACAATAAATGGGTTATAAAACATATATAACAATTCCTTATGGAAATTGTGTTGTAAATGTAACATGATAATAAGCACCTTAGAAATTAATATTTATAATAAGGCACATTTTTTAAGTGTTTTACAATAACATTCAAAATATTGCAAACTGTAAATATAGTATAAAAAGTACATATAGAAATAAATTTATTTAGAGTTCATTTAATATTGTAAGTTTAAGAAATTCTGAATAGGCAAAGATAATTTCGTAAATAAATAAATGACAAACACACGAAAATGTTTAGATGTGATAACATATTACATTCTTATATTATTTTAATTAAATATCTAGGCTTCCAATGGGTTTGTGATATTAAGTGATTATCTGTAGAGATTACTACAATGACAATTTCTTCTAAAATGATTTTTGTGTATGTGATTAGAATGGAAAACACTAAACATTGTTTTTTTACACTTAAAGAAAAACCATTGAATTTTTTGGAAAAAAAAATTTTTTTCTGGTTAACTTGGTTAGTTTCGATACAGTGCAGACAAGCTATCGCGATGGTTGTGCAGGTTGTACTCTGAAACGGATTTTGTAAAATTTAATTTGCAAAATAGCTCCGTACGAAACTCCGCGCGAATACTTGCTTCGAATCCAGCCAAGTAACACTTTTTACGAAGACTTCCTTTAAAAATTTGGAAATGAAAGATTAGAAAATTACAAGATATTATACTCTATAAACATTAACGTAATTAAGGTTAATACAAATTAGTTATGTCATGATAAACGGTAAAAATATATAACAAAGTGTTTTGGAATGTGTTGGACAGTCTAAGATATATTATTTAGAAAATGAATGCTTTAGTTTAGGTGGTTCAATGTACATTAAAATTTAAAGCCCTGAGAAATTAGAGGTCTGTGCCCAGCAGTGGGACGTAGGCTGTTACTTTACGTTTACTTTAATGCACATCTAATGAATTCATTCAAAGATACTTCTCGTTTTTAATTTTACCACGTTTTCACTAACAATATAAAACATCATCTTCAACACAAAATCCGGCTTATTAAATCCGTAAAAAAAAAAGATATATTATACTATTTTAAACCCAGATTTTTTTACTGTCGCGAAGATTTTCCTATTTTATCTCTATATATATAAAAATCAATTGCTGTCCGTTAGTCACGCAAAAACTCTCGAAAATGGCTGGATCGATTTTGATGATTTTTTTTTTGTTTTTGAGTAGGTCCCTAGATGGTTTAAACTAATAATTGGACCCGGTAAGTGGAACTGTTCTCGAGATCCAGAAACCTCCCGTGAGAAGTCGAGTTGGTTGGCTAGTTTTTAATAAAAAAGGGTGCATATACATTTGCAAATTTCCAACTGTACCTAATAAGTACAGAAAATACAAGTGGTAAAATTTAAAATTTTATACAACCGACTCTCAAAAACACTGGTCAGACTGGTTGAATTGAGTACCGTCTCCTTTTTGGAAGTCGGCAGAAAATATACCTATGTATGTATAAGGCAATTATACATAATGTCAAAATTTATCATATGGGACCACACGAGAAGTACCAGCTTTCAAATAAAAAAGAATCATCGAAATCGGTTCAGGCGTCTTCTACTCGAAGAACATCGGTGAACATACATTAAAAAAAAAATTTTTAGGTCTGTTGAAAATGGCTCAACAGTTTTCGAATGTTCTAAATGTAACTCTACAAATAGGCAATTGGTGTTGACAGGCATGAGGCCTTTTATCTTCCATACCACAGACGGATGCAGAGTTACGTATGGCGAAGTTTACGGACGTTCAAGTCAAACAATTGCGGCATTAAGCTGTGATGAGACAAACTAAAATCACTGAAAATTACTGTAGATAATTAAGAGATATTTATCTTTATATATAAAAATTACGTGTCACGTTGTTTGTCCGCGATGGACTCCTAAACTACTGAACTGATTTCAATGAAATTTTGCACACTGTGTGCATTTTGATCCAACTTGAGATATAGGATAGTTTTTATCCCGATAAATGACCCACAAATTTTTTTATTGCAAATTTAAGGATTTTTATAGGAAGGGTCGTTAGAAAGGGCAGAACAACGTCTACATGGCGAGCTAGTATCTATATATATTACTTTATCATTTTGATGAGAATATTGTAATTCAATTAAAAATCAAACAAGGGGCGGAAAAGGATAATATTTTAATTCGATTAAAAAGCAAACAAGGGGAGGGAAAGGATCTGGTAAATGCTTGGGGCAAAAGGCTTCCTTTCAATTATTTATTTACAAGTAAAATTTTTGCGAAACACCACTTAATTTCGTAACAAATTGAGCCTTAATAATCATGTGAAATTGTGTATGAGAACAATACGGCCGGACATACCACGGCGAGGAATCTGCGCGGTTCTTTCGAATGGAAATTGCGTAAATATTCGCGTTAGTAACCATCAAAAATCGTTAACGTAGCGGGAGCCATGGCATGCGATAATGGCCTTTAAGGATGTTACATGACGAGTTCAAACGCCTCGAGCCTTAATTATGGGTAGTCGGGATCAAAATTCGCGCAGCACGCATCTTTCTTTTATGAATCATTTTATACTATCGATTGTGAAAACGTAGTTTAACAATAAAACATAATTTAAAAATGTATAGTAACAACTTTTACTCTTTTCTATTTACATCGTTTAAGTATTACGGTTCAGCTAAATTCATTCCCTTCATATAAGCTTTCACATACTTCCAATAATCTTAAAACGGGGCTGATATTATATGGGAACAGAGATTTCGACACCAGCCTACTTATTTGTAAGCGTAACCTTATCAACACTCGCATTGTGTCATCAACACCTCTGGTTCCACCAGAGTCGGCCTGTTGGCAAGTTTCCAAAAATTTTGGCCAATTTCTTCTCACGTACTTCAAAAACCTTAATAAGTACAGGAGGAAACAAGTTTCATTGCTCACTAAGTAATCTAAAAGCACATCGCTGTCATGCGAAACGACTTTCAAAAATTCTATGAATGAAGATATCGGATTTAACATTGGTATTAAATCAGGATACATAGAATTCCTATACACAATACCAACTGTTATATCTAATGTGCAAACCATGGACTCTATTAGATAGTCATCCTGCTCACTAAATAAATGAATTAGCATCTTTGTGAACGCAGTCTCTGGATGAAACTCCAAACTGTTCCTAATGAACACATCAAGTTTCTTTAAAACATCTCTAATAGACCTCTCAACAATTTGCATATCTTGTATAGCATTGTAGTCTGCAGAATCGATTGAGCTGTCAGAGGAATCGCAGCGCATTTCCTTAACGGTGACAGCAACAGATTTTAATACTAATAAAGACATTCTTTGCAACATTGTTTTATCTACATCACTTCTCAGATGTCTAGAATCGTCATTATCATCTACCCCATAACTTTGATCTACCAACTGAATAGTAGATGATATAGGGTTCACATCAGGACTTAATGAATAATCCCTTATAATAGTGCATTCATTGCCTAAAAAACCAAACCCACTTCTATTGCTTTGTATTCTTACATCTGTTAGAAGCCGAAAGTCTTTGACATACCTAACGATTGAGTGAGCTAAACAACATATCTCTTCTGGTAAGATATCTTGTAAAGCTAATGTAGAACCATAACACAGGACCTCGTTGAACAAACTTAGTAGATGTGAATATATTAAACTTGGTAGCATTGTATTCCTCAGTAGATCAACAAAACTTTGCAAGTCCGCATAGAACGGTTTAGTATCTATAATGGAAAGATTGGCCTTAACACTTATTATGTTCTCCCACAGAGAGAAAAAGGTTAGTATACAGTTTTCAGCATTAGCTAAATTCAGGTACCTTAGTAGCAAGAGCTTCATGTTTTTCACTAACACCGGCCAGTGGTGTTCTAATGTTTTTATCGTTAAACATTTTATGTGAGATGTGTCAAATGATTCAGAATCTGTTAGAATAACTGTTACGCAACCATTCTCATTAACCCTTTCTATTCTAGCTGGTGGGGGTTCAGGAGTAACTGCTCTTTCAGTCGCCCCTAACTGCTGATTATTAGGGAATTTTAACACTGGCTCATGTAATTTAAAAGTAACCACTCTTTCAGCGGGTTTCTCACCTGATGTTGAAGGTGCACCATGGGTTTGTAAGTTAGAAAAAGCATTGTGCAAATTATCAGTACGTGAACCTGATGGCATTTGTGAATTACTACTACTGTTGTAATTAGATGTACTTCGAAAAGGGTTATCATCTTGTACATGACCATTTCCTGCTGTATTTATGTAATTACTATCTTCAAGTGGGTGCTGTTCCACATCTTTCCACTCAACTATCCTTTTAATTATATCCAAACTGAAGTTAATCTTTTGCACTGTTATTCTATTAATTCTATCAAACAAATAAATATTCTCTGCAATTTGCTGAAGCCAGTTCTCGTCAACAGTGTCTTTTGCAACAATTAAAAAACTAGCTAAAACCCTACTTGCAACAAAAGTAATAAACTTACTTTTATGATCTGCTAATTCAACAACTTCAGTAATCCAATCATGCCTATTCCTAACAAAAATATCACATGCCTGCATCACCCTTGAGCATATAGTGCCTGTGTTATTTTGTTTTAAATATATATCAAACATAAGTTGCATTGTAGAGAGATAGGTCAGGGAACATGTAAGAGGCCATGAAACAATATTTAGTTGTCTATCAAAAAGCTGTGAAACCACATTTTCATCATACCCACACAAACACTGCCCTACAAGCACATTTTGAAGCATCCGAAGTTCAGCTAACAACTTGTTATCATCAGAAGTCCAGTGAGGTGTAGAATTAGAACCAGATGGTGTAAGTTCTATACTAGAGTCACAAGGGAGCCTGAGCATGGCCGAACAATCCACTGCATCTTCACTAACGGTGCCACTATCTGGAGACTCGCCATTCCTTGATGGGAACTCTTCCGATGTTTCTGCTGGTGTTTCAGAATCAAATAGATCTGCAAGGATATCTTCTGCTGACCTATCACTGCCATCGTCAATATCCGGCGCGTCAATTCGCTGTTTCTTCTTCACAGGCTGGTCTGAGGCCATTCCTTCATCTGCCTTAGGTATTAGGTGCCCTCGGAGAACCATTAACGCACTATGCGACACACCCAATAAAATAACTTGTAGTATTTTAAGTAGCAGAATGCATTTTAACGGTCCCACTGTTATTATTCTGGAAACAAAAAGGCGAATGAGTGCATGACCTTTTCCCAGCTACTCAGTTACGCGCACGACAAAGCCATCGTTTATTATAACGGTAAAGACTTATCAATTCAATACAAAACATTAAAATTAATCTATTAAAGAGCCAAAGTAGATTATTTTATAGTTGTATTATAAAATATGCATTCACGTTACAAGTTACAAATAACTTTCCAAAATATTTTGATGGCACACATACCATTGACAGACAACCTAGGTTGTTTGAACACTTTTTTACGATATTGGTATCCATAAATCACCTCTAACTGTTCACAGTAATCCGTTAATTAACACTAATGCAGAGTTTTAAGTGATACTTTGTAAGAAAACATATAAATATTCAATCACTAAGATGTGCACATAACATCTACAAAATAGACTCCATTGCGTACAATGACGCTCTGTCAATAAAAATACTTTTTATTAAGGAATTTTGTTAATATTTTTTCAAACACATGCACCATTTACTATTTTAAAATTAACACTTTTAAAAAGTAACTACAAAAGAAAAAGCATGTAATTATAATCCTCAATTTTACGTTTTATATAAAAAAAGGCTTTAGCTTGTAAGGTTTCTTCACCTTTACATCCGGCAGAGACGTTGCCAGTCTGACGACTTCTGAATTTAGCATTTAGGAGCCGTAGTGATAAACTTTGGTATGAGAGGAGTCATTCAGAATGCTCAATGATGAACAGTAGCTAATTTATTGCTTCGGGATAAAAAGTTGGTAGACAGAAAAAGTAAATCCATGGATGAAATACTATTAACGAAATACACAAAGAAGTCTTTGGTGTTATATTATATGCAAATTACAAAATTAAACAAATGTATGTAGTAATATTTTACAAATGGAACTTACATAATAATAAATTTCATAAAATATGGTATAAAGGTGAATAGAGTTGAAAATTACATCAAAAAGTTTTCTTTACTAGATTAAACAAATTATCATCGAAGAAATAATATTATAATACATAGGCTGCACTAAAAGTATCGGTAATGGAATATTTCCACTGTTCCTGTCATATTAAAATCTTTTTGATTGAAAAGTCCTTGGTTTTAAAAATCGAATACCATTTATTTATTTAAAAAAAGATTCTCGGTCTTGTCACAAGGTTTTGTCAAATTTGTTTAGTCGTTGAGAAGACTTTCGAAGTGGTTTAACACAAAAACAGTGTGTTAACCGGATGATTTCTGCATTTGGTGATGAAGCCCCATCCAAAACCACAATTTATCGCTGGTTTGCTGAATTTCAACGTGGACGTGTCAAGCTCAGTGATGATCCCCGTCAAGGTCGTCCAAAAACTGCAGTCACCCAAGAAAACGTTGATGCTGTGCGTACGCTGATTGAGGAAGATCGACATGTGACATACCGCGAAATTCAGGCAACTTTAGACATTGGCATGAGTCAAATAAAAACAATCTTGCATGACAATTAGGTGTAAAAAAGTTGTTTTCCCGATGGATACCGCATTCGTTCTGTGAAGAGTAAAAAGCGGCTCGCGTTACTTGGTGCGTCAGAACTCTCGAAAGATTCCACGCAGCATCCTTTAATGCTGTATACAACATCGTATCAGGTGACGAATCCTGGATATACGCGTACGAACCCTAAACAAAATCCAGTCACGAGTTTGGGTGTTCGAAAATGAGTTAAAGCCAACAAAAATTGTTCTTCACGGAGTGTTCCAAAAAAAAAAATGGTGGCCACGTTTGTCTCCAAAACCATCCATGTTACGACTATTCCTCTTGAGGGACAAAAAACGGTTAATGCAGAATGGAGCATCTCACATGCTACCATTTGTTTGCCACAGGTCGTTTCTGAACTCCGTAAAGAGAACTGCAACCGCCGCATCATCTTCCATCACGACAATGCGAGTTCTTACACCGCACACAGAACAAAAGAGTTTTTAGAGCAAGAATACATAGAATTATTAGACCATCCGCCGTACAGCCCCGACTTAAGCCCTAATGATCTCTATACTTTCCCTAAAATAAAGAATAAATTGCGTGGACAGAGATTTTCATCACCTGAAGAAGCTGTGGACGCCTACATAACGGCCATTTTGGAGACCCCAACTTCCGAATGGTTGCTTCAATGATTGGTTCCATCGTATGGAAAAATGTGTCAAATTTCGCGGAGAATACTTCGAAAAGCAATAAGCACATTTTAAATAGTAATGTTGTGTCACTTCCTTGATTCCCGAAATTTTCAGTGCCGCCCTCGTATTTTAACAGTTTAATTATAATAAAATTATTATAATCTATGGTTCTATTTCTTTAATTTTTACTGGCAACACTATAAGTCTCCCTCAGAATAAATAATACTGATCTATGGCTAAGAAAAATGTCTGCTTCCCAAGGCCCTTCAGAAATTGTGTTATTTCGATTAAATTATTTACAATAGTAATGTTAAATTTATCTATAAATAATTATCAGGTGACTATCATTAAGACTTAGGCAAAATGTGCCATTTTGGTAATTGTGATGACTCATCCAAGTGTTTTTGCATAACAATCAATAGAATAAATTTAGGTTAAGATCTTTGGTATATTGTATTCAGATCGAAACAAAAAATACGTATATATTGAAACATTAATAGAGTTCATTGATGGTTCAAAATATTAAATATACTCAAGGGCTCAAAATGAAAGTATTGATATGCCATCGGCTTCTACAACTTGCAATTCTTTTTTGGTAGGTATTATTATAATGCCTAACTAAATAAAGTTGAAATCTAAGGATTACGAAACTAAAGCGCTCTAGTATGACATCCACAACTATGTAATAGATAGAAAACAATTGTCAACTTCAATGGAGGAAACCAAACTATTTCCTGTTAAGAATAAGGAAGGTAATCAATAGGCGTTAGCAGTTTTCAATCGCTTAATACGCCTCGTTCGAAAATAGGTAGTTGTACTTGTAGCTATTAAAAGAAATGTAGATAAATTGTATTTACGGTCTACGACCTTTTTCGGAAGTTCTAATTTCGATACACCTACGCGTTTTATTTTTCATAATATAAAATATAATATACCAGGGCATTGATATGGTTTCCTCTTTGGGGTTACACATTTTCAATGAAAATTATATTATTTCCAGATAGACAGCTCATCAAAATGGAACATGTACATGTTATAGATGAAAAAGAAGTCCATGCCCTGGTATTGACTTTTTGATGTGAATCTCTCAGGACTTAACCTTAAGTATCAGTGTGATGAAGTGCAGTGAATCACATTTTTAAAAGTTCAGTGTGGCCTGACAATAATCAGGATGTCTGATGAGGAAGATTCATCGCCTGATAGGGCATTAGTGTCAACCAACAATGTGCCAGGTATGTTTAATTTAAAAAATCATCTTTATCTCTCTTTTTCAATGATATAAATGTTTATGTATATTTGTTGACACAGGTTTTGATAAAAAATTATCACTATTGTCTTTATTAATGCTGTCTAAAAGTCTATTGAATTGTTCCTTTCTGTTTTTTTTTTCAATTTTTTACAATAATGCACTCCTTGACTTAAAATTGCAATGTTACAATTGCCAATAGTTTAAATTAAATATGTTGCATAAAAAAGCAGACTACTTTTTCTGGGTGTGGAGTACAATAATATTATTATAAATAAATATTAAACCCCATATTGTGCTGTGGGTGTTCTAAGAGACGACAAAGGGAAAAGAAACAGATGTGCAGTAGCATCTTCGTGATAACTCATCTATGGCAAATATACTCCCAATGAAATGATCTATGGGGGAAGTCTATATTCAACAGTGGATTTTGAGAGGCTGAATGAGATGAACGAATGAATACATTAAATTATATTAAAATTATACATTATAGCTTACTGTATATTAGAAAATCAGATTGTCAACATAAGGAAAATAGCACATCCACATTTTTCTGAAATTAGGTTTTGCATGTGTAGGAACCCTTTTTAACCCATTGTGAAAAAGAGGGGTGTTATATGTTTAATGTGTGTACTTGTGTGTCTGTCTGTGGCATCGTAGCTCCCAAACGTTTAAACCAATTTAGATTTAGTTTTTTTGTTTGAAAGATGAAGCTAAAGACAGTGTTCTTAGCTATGATTCAAGAAAAACTTTTGGGGTTTTTCTAGATTTTGAATTTGAGTTATTTAGTATACAATACCCAACTACTGAGTGGTACAGTTTGGATTTTAATTTCTTTGAATGTATTGTAAATGTGGTATGTCTCTGACACAGCAATTCATTTGCAATCTTACTCCATAAACATGCATACTCACACAGCTTTACATTAATGTAATGTAACTCATTAAATTAGTGTAAAGCTACACTAATATAATGTAACACATTAGATTAGTGTTAAACTGCACTAAATTTATGTAACACTAGCGATCCGTCCCGGCTTCGCACAGAAACAATGCCACCTACCAGGTCCAATTGTGAATCTAAACCATTCTCTAATTAATTTAATCACACACACAAAATTTCATCAAAATAGGACAAGCTGTTTAGGAGTTCAGTCACATACACACTGACAGAAAAAATATATAATATATAATATGCATGTATTATACATATACACCTTCCTCTTGAATCATTATGTCTATTGATGAAAACTGCATCAAAATGCATTGCAAGTTTAAAAGATCTAAGCTTATAGACGACGGGAAGCAACTTTGTTTTATACTATGTAGAAACATATTAGTGTAAAGTTATAAAAGAAAAATTATTATGATCAGATCATATAAAAAAGTTATGCCCGAACATATATATTATATAAAAAAAAAGGAACCTCCTTTGCTATGATTTCAATTAAAAATCTCAATGGAATCTGAATTTAATTCAAATCTAAAGCCTGGCATTATTGGAATATTGGAATTTTATTATTATTATATTATAGAAGTGTAATGGGTAAAATTGCTAACCCTCCAAGTGCCAGTCACATCTCAACATGTGGTGCATTGCCTTGAAGAGGTTTTGATAAACAAATGACAACCCATCCGAAAGTGCCAAACCAAAATTTCAAGGTTGGTAATGTGTATAGTGAAACCAGTGTGTATTTATCAGCTCTGCTTGTTTGACTCTGCAATCTGCCCGCCTAGAGTTGTGAGTGTGGGTATATCTTTGAGTAATGTTTGTCAGCTGGCGTATAATTACCCCTTGTCTAGCTTTTGACTTAATAAGACTGCTAAAGAAAATGATAACAAGTAGTAAAATAAAAAAAAATGGACAACCGACTTCAATATAAATAAAATGAGAATATCATCAATGTAGTGGAAGTCAATTAAATATGCATTATTAAGAATTACTCAAAAACTACTGGTCAGATCTTAATCAAATTTATTTTGTGGTCCCACACACGAGAAGCACCAGCTTTCAAATAAAAAAGAAGATAAAATAATCATCAAAATCGGTTCACCGACAAAAAAGTTCTGAGGTAACACAAAAAAAAACAGTTGAATTGAGAACCTCCTGCTTTTTTTGAAGTCTGTTGATAAAAGTTAAGTAATGTTTCAGCCTATATCTGTCCCACTGCTGGGCTCTAGCCTCCTTTCATTTCTGAGAGGGTTTAAGGACAAAGAACTGTCTATCATTCTTTTAATCAGAACTTATTGTAAACATAATTATTATTTTAATGTTAAAGATAAAGATATATTTATCTGCAAAAACATATGTAGATAATAATACATTTGATTTTTATCTTTAGTGTGAAAATTGTATTTTTGTATCAACATGTTTGACCATAGTTGGTGTACAATAATAAAAAAATAAAAAAAGAATAGGTATAACATATAATTAATAAGTTATTACAACAAGACATATCTATTAATTAATTACTCAAATGGGTAAAAAAAACTAAATATAATAAAACGTCATATATAAGGGGCTTTAATAATTCAACACCATATTTGAGTCTCGGAATTTCTTTCATTGTAGATCCATGCAGCAGCTATATTATGGTTGTATCACAAATGGGTCATCTCGACTGGGGAAGGGCCACTCCCACAGAATACCAGTGTAAATTAGGAGTTTAATGGTGCTGTGTTTCGTATGGTGAATGTAGAGAACTGGAGACTCTTTTTACTAGAAATGAGGCATCCCATCTTGGTCTTTAGGGGTGACAATGCATTTGCATTTTGATTCTTATTTGAGAATAAATGTAGATTACTATGGGCCACAGATTCACCTACCATCAGATTAATTTTGTGCTCATTTGTCACCATATTATATAAAAAAAAGGCTGTCCATATAACTCGAAGAACTGGCAATCGATGGTAAAGAAAGGTTCTCGAGTGGCAGCCTCGTGCTGGAAAGCGCCGTGTTGGGCAACACTCCACTACTACATATATCTGTCAATGAATGAATGTGGCTTAGGACTGTACTTTGTGACAATCTATGGGGGAAGCCTATAGTGTAGTAAACTTGTGATGGGTTGTAATCATAATGTAATGTCTCCCAGTGTATTTACTTTTAAAAGTTCAAATTTTCTTATAATGTGATGGGCTTATTAAATAACTGGTAAATATAGGTACCACACACCAAATAATCTTCAGGATAAACCAAATAAATATACATACATTTCTAAATACAAAAATATCAATGTTATTGTGGTGGTTTTTCCTGTTCTATAAATATAAATATTCCTGAATTATAATTTTACCTTGACTTGAATTGCATCCATATATATATCAATACATCAAGGAGAAACTTTGTACCTTTTTTAAGCATATTGTGTGCACGGAGATGTGTGAGATTTGACAGAATTGAAGTTAATCTGGAGAAGGAGTGTAGAAAGCTAAAATTTACACATATTACAAATACAATAAATAAAATAAAACATTAAATAAACAGTTTATGTTCATACTGCAAATGTCAAAGACATAACAGTCTGTGGTCAAACAGAGCTACACAGAGTAGAGATTGTCTGTGGAGTGTATTTTTTTATAGAATAAATGTGAGTCACAGTCCACCTGATGGTAAGTGGTTGCTGTGACCCATAGACATCTACATCTATCTTCGTTTGCGAATTAAAATGCAGATGCGTTGTCAGCCATGAGGACTAAGATAGAATGCATCTTTTCCATTAAAATGGGTCTCTGGTTCTCTGCACTCACCATACAAAACACAGCAGCATTAAGCTCCTATTTTACGCTGGTATTCTGTAAGAGCGGGGTCCTTCCTCGGCCTAGCTGACCCATTTGTGCTACAACTATACTATTATTATAGCTGCAGCATGGCTCTACCACATACAAAAAGACAATAAAGTGTTTAATTTATATTTTGTATATGAGATAGTAGTGAAGGGCTGTAATGATGATGATGATGAGATGATATCATCATCATTACAGCTCTTCACAAGTCCACTGCTGAACATAGGCCTCCCCCAAAGAATACCACAAAGTATGGTCCTGAGTCAACTGCATCCATCAACTTCCTGCATATCTTACCAAAGTCTTCACTCCATCTAGAGGCCACTCAAGAACCTTGCTTCCCCATTGGTTGTCGGTCCTTTGAGCTATATGGCTAGCCAATTGCAACTTCAGCTTGTTGTGGTTGTGTCTGTTACTCTGGTTCTATTGCGGATAACCTTATATCTAATTTTATCACGCAGAAAAACCACAAAACGTAGCCCTTTCCATAGCTCGCTGAGCGACTAGGCTTCCTCATACGGCCAGCAGCGAAGGACCAGGTCTCAGATCCATATGTTATCACTGGCAACACGCACTGGTTGTACAATTTCGTTTACAAGTTCTTAAGGTATATCTGACGAGAAGATGTGTCGTAATTTCCCGAACGCTGCCCAGCCCAGTTGAATCCGTTGTTTGACCTCACTGTCGAAGTTGGACTTGCCTAGTCAGACTATTTGTCCCAGGTAAACATACTCGTCAACAACTTCGAGCTTAGTGCTCCCAACAACTACCGGCATAGATGTGACATGGACGTTACACATGATTCTTGTTTTGTTCATGTTCATCTTAAGAGCTAAACGTTTCGAGTTATATACGAGGGTGGATTGAAAAGTACTCGGCGTAACCAAGAAAATAAACAAATACTAAATCAGTTATATTTTTATTTTTCTACATAATCACCATCAAGTTCAATACACTTTTGCCACCTCCCCTTCCAAGCATTTAGACCGTTGAAAAAAAATGATTCTTCCTTAGAGTCAAAATATGCGTCTACAGCTGCTTTGACCTCGTCGTTTGTCGAAAATCTTTGACCTCCCAAGTGCTTTTTTAGGTTAGGGAACAGAAAGAAGTCTGATGGTGCCAGATCAGGTGAATACGGCGGATGCGGTAACAGTTCAAAGCCACAGTTGTGAATTTCAGCCATTGACTGTACTGACGTGTG